ATTAACGATTAAAGTAGGCTCATGAGCAGGAGAGCCTTTTGGAGCAGGTTGTGAGAGAGGCTAAGGCCCGAGGAGGTCTATTTAATGAAGGTATTCAAACAAAGAGCCAGCCCAGACCTTGCCTGGCAGAGGGGTGAGCAGCACAAGGGGCCTGCGGCAGGAACGCACAGCATGTTCTAGGCACAAAGAGAAGGGCAGGACAGAGCGAGGGCAGAGCGAGGGGAGCCCAGTGCACAGGGAGCAGTGGGTTCAAAGGGAGCCTGACAGGCTGCACGGCTTCAAGGCTCACAGCCAAAACGATGTCCTGAGGGAGAGGGGAGCCCTGGGAAGTTTTAAGCAAGAGAGCAATTACAGGTGCGCTCGGGGCGCTGTTCTAGAGAAGCAAACAAGAAGATGACTCAGGAGGCCTCAGGGGCCTGCAGGCCTGAGGTCAGGGGAGCTGCTAGCGTTGGCACATCACTCCACCTCCTGGCTTTCGGTTTCCTTACTCCTCAAATGATAGGTCTGAACCAGAAAAGCCTGCTCAACCGCGCCAGCTCCAACAGTCCAGGCCTCGCCTGGTCCCTCCGCGTGGACCCCGGGTGATCAGAGCTCGGCGGCCAGCTCGGCGGCCGGAGAACCAGAGCCTGGAGCTCCCGCACTCAGGCACCAGGGCCTCCTCTTACTGCGCTCCACTTCATGCACGTCGGGGTGGTGGGGTGGTGTGTTTTCTTACAAACTGAAGGCAGCACCCCTGCCGGCAAACGGCTCCCGGTATTGGTATTGCGGTGATCAGGAACAGAACCTGCGATATCTGATATCTCCGAGCTACCCTGGGCAGGGTCAGCCTCCATGAATACGATTCGCATGAAATGCCCAGGAAGGGTTCATGAGTGACCAGCACCACCCAAGGCAGGAACAGGAGCGTGTCCCTGGGACACTAAGCATTAGCTCTGGGACTGCAGACTCTCGCAGAGGAGGGGAACCTCAGGAAGCAGCTCATGCGGGGCTTTTAGTCTTTTTCCTTTTTTAAAAAGAAAGGAAGACAGGAAGGGAGGGAGAGAGGGAGGAAATCTTACAAAGGAAGGAGGGAGAGAGGGAGGGAGGGAGGGAGGGAGGAAATCTTACAAAGACACCAAAATACAAAACTCCTCAGTAAGAGGTTCCCTGCCAGTTAAAATCACCACCGCTCTGCACGGATGGCTTGCTGCTGCAGAAGGACCCACACGAGAAACAGCCGGGAAAACTACTCTACCCGCTAAAGCCCTTTCTCAAAACAACCAATGAGTCTCTTCCACACACACAGAAAGGCACAGCTAATAAAGGAACAAAGTTCTAAGTACCCACCACTTAGCTCTAATCTCAACATCTCGTCGTCTGTGTCAAATTGATTTTCAAAGAAATACAACATTACTGGTGTTGCCCAAGCCCCCAATGCACCTGCTCATCCCATCGCCCTTTCCTCCCCCCACAAGGAATCGCTCCCTAAACTCGCTGCCGACCATCTCCACGCGGGCACAGTGTTATCTGTGCTTCTCTAAGGGCATCGTGTGCCCTTCCTTTACTTAACGTTGCCCCTGAGATTGAGTGGAGTGACGCAGGCAGCATCTCACGGTATGAAACCACAGTCTCCCTTTTCTGTCTGATGAACATTTACATTGTCTCATTTATTTTGGGGGGAGGAGGGTTCCGTGGGGGTTTGGCTGTTATGAATGATACTGCCTGAACACTGTCGCACACGGCTGCTCTCCCACACCTGAGGGGTCTCTCTAGCAGCAGAGCGGCCCCGATACCGTGTCGTGACATGGACTTTTTCACACCTTCTGGACAATATCACATCGTCTACCAACGGAGGATCTACCAGCTGTGGGCAAAGTTCTGAGCGTCACCGTCCTCAACACACCCTCGCCAAGATGTCATACTTTTAGTTTTTCTTTTCGATCTTAATTGTGATAAACTACACAGAATACTGCCTTAACCATTTTCCACATTTTTAAGGGCACATGTCAGTAGTGTTATGTATAGTCACATTGTTGTGCAACCAGTTTCCAGAACTTTTCATCTTGCAAAACTGAAACTCCAGGCCCATGCAACAACTCCCCTCCTCCCCTCCCCACAGCCGGGAAACCACCACTCCCCTCTCCGTTTCCACGAACCTGACGACTACAGGCACACCTCACGTCAACGGAATCATGCACTATCCGCCTTTCTGGGACTGGCTGATTCCATTCAGCATAACGTCCTCAAGGCTCATCCGTGCTGAAGTATGTGACAGGATTCCCTTCCTCTGGAAAGACAATGTTCCACTGCATGTGTGTAGTGCGTTCTGCTTTTCATTCATCGACAAGGACTCCTGGGCTGCTTCCACCTTTGGCTACTGTGAAACAGTCAGATGCTTTGAAGTATTGCCAATCTCATGGGCACACAAAAAAGATTTCTTTTTTTTAACTTGCATTCTGATTGCTAAAAAAGACAGAGCAGCCTCCTTATGTTTATTGACTATACACATTTTCTCTACCTCTCTCTTCTTCTTCTTTTTTTTTTTTTTTTTTTGGTGGAATTTATTTTTCGATTCCAGGTACTGATTCTTTCCTAGTTATATTTATTACAAATATCTTCTTCCAATATGTGGCTCTTAAATTTTCTTGTAGTACCTTCCCTATACTAAACGTCCACATTTTAACACTGTAAAAACTATCAATCATTTCCATTATGGTTTGTGCTTTGGCAGTGTTTTTCGTTTTTTTAAAAATGTATTTTATTGACTTCAGAGAAGAAGGGAGAGGGGGAGAGAGCTAGGGAAACATCAATGATGACAGAGAATCATTGATCGGCTGCCTCCTGCATGCCCACACTGGAGACTGAGCCTGCAACCAGGGAATGTGCCCTGGCTGGGAATTGAACCATGACCTCCTGGTTCATAGGTCAACGCTCAACAACTGAGCCACATCGGGCAGGCTGGCAGTTTTATTTCAAAAGTTCTTTCCTTCCTACCTTGAGACCAGGAAGGTATTCTATTATTTTTATTAAAGCATTAGTTTACTTTTTACATTTAAACCCTTGAACTGTGGAATATATTTTTGTGTCTGGTCCGAGATGGAAATACAACATTATTCTCTCCATGTGTCCCAGACAAATGAGAACTGGGCCCCTGAGTGCAGGACAGAGTGAGACACCTGAACCTGTCTGAGCGCAGGCAGTGACGGCTGGAGGACACTGGGGACATCGCCTGACACCGTGCCCATCACTGAGCGGCGAGGAGGGCGCCCAGGGGATGTGCCCACACGTGCCCAGGACACACGGAGCCAGTGGCGAACTCTCCTGATTTCCAGGTTAACCAGTGCCTTCTACTCACATCTGGACAGT